AAACCTAATAGTTTAAATATTTTGGGACGTTAGGCGTATCCCTGATGCAGGTGCACAGCACTTGAACCAATATTCCGACTTAAAACGTTTAATTTTATCCTCAGAGTTAAAAAATTTAGGGCCGTGCCCTAATTAATAGTAAATTTTGGTGAAATAATGTGATCGTTTATGAAGAACTTGTAAATTCCCGCTTCAAAATAATACCAATCCAATGTTTTTCTTAGTAAAAATGCGTTTCTGGCTAAACATTTTTCTGGATGTCAAAGCAGGCTTTTTATCGCTTGTTTAGATAACCATAAAACGGAAATTTGGCCGATATGATTTCTGTCATTACAGCGTGGCCTTTCTGACCGTTTTGCAAAAACTCAGACACACCGCATCTGGATCAACTTCGCTTGCAGCTGTAATATTTCTTGCGCGCTTGCGAGATGTTGGTGTAGAGCGCGATGATGAGGGAGCTTGCGAGTTGCTTGATGTTTGCGGAAGCGATGTTGGCAGTGGCGACGTCAGCTGCGATGCCAATGGCAACGGCTGCTGTGGCGATGTTGGCAGTGGTGAAATCAGTGGCGGTGCTAACTGGCCCTCTCCACAGGATAAAATTTATTGCTGCCCAGCTGTCATTTTGGTCGCTAGATATAAGTTATATCAGTGGCAATATTTGTGTGGTCTTTTTATATCTTGATATAAGCATTTGTAAGATAGCTTTGAAAATGTATTTTTGCCGTACTTAATCGCTTAAAAAATTTAGAAAATAGGCTATTTTACATCCAAGTACATAATTACAAATATTTTAACAGGAAACAGCTCAATTTTTGCTTTTATATTAAAATAATAATGATGTTGCAGCCAGGAAGTTTTCGTGCAAGTGAAAATGTAGCTGTCAAACTACCAAATTGCCGGCAATAGATGGCAAGATATAAGCTCTGATATATATTGCAATGAGCTGTCTCCATTGGCTGTTTATATTCTAACATATGTATCAAGATATAAACTTTATCCTGTGGAGACGGGCAGTTATGACGACAGCTGCGGTGATGGCGACGGCAACGTCGAAAATATCTGTAAAGGAGGCGATAGAGATGGTGGGGATATGAACAGCTCCAAGCTCGGCTGTGATNCCAAATTGCCGGCAATAGATGGCAAGATATAAGCTCTGATATATATTGCAATGAGCTGTCTCCATTGGCTGTTTATATTCTAACATATGTATCAAGATATAAACTTTATCCTGTGGAGACGGGCAGTTATGACGACAGCTGCGGTGATGGCGACGGCAACGTCGAAAATATCTGTAAAGGAGGCGATAGAGATGGTGGGGATATGAACAGCTCCAAGCTCGGCTGTGAGGATGATGCTAACGGCGTGTGCAATGGAGAAGTAAACAGTTGGGAGGAGTTACTAGCCTGATGTGGAGATGCTGGTGGAAGTTGTAATGCCTCCAGAATGTTTTTAGAAGTCCGGCACCTACAACAAAATTATTTGCAATAAATATAGTTAGATATTTTAACTACTACAATAATTTTAACATGGCCAACTTACGGACGCGGTATTGCAGAATTTCGCAAAAAGCAAAGGGATTCCATCAATGGCCAAGCTTTTTCCCGGAGTGCTTCACTTCCTTACGGTGCGTATTGCCGGCGCAGCTCCCTGGAATACCGCTCGCGAATCGCCAACCACCTTTTAGCACATTGCTCGCCTTTAAATAGTAAATCGCTAATGCAACTTAATTTAATTTAAAGTATTAGTACATACCTGTTCGATTTAGCTGTTCGCCTATGTGCCTCCAAATTTGCCTTTTGTGTTCCGCTAACTTGTAGTTTGGGGGAAATTTGTCGTATAATTCATTATGCGACTGCACCAGCAATATCAATTTTTCGTCGTTCATGTTTAAAATGTTTATTTTGTTTATTTGGTTTGCTTTTTCTTTATTTTTGACAGTTCGCTTTGACCCGTTGCCATGCCGTTGCCATATGTTTTATATTTGTCCGAAAAAACGTTTTTACATCACAATTTCGGAAAATTTAAATTTGAACAAAGCAAAAAATTGATATGGCAGCCTGGCTCTCTCAATTTACGTAAAAACATAACCTAAAAATCTAGCTCTCTAAGATTCCTAAGACAAGTTGAGTTTTGGCTAACCAGAAACACGTATTACTGGTATGGTAGGTAGGTCTAAGTTGAGTTAAATTGTCTTGGCTAACTTACGCTTTAAACAGCATGGCTAACTGGTGCTATGTAAATCGTATGACTCTAAATCTGGAAAAAATGTAAAGTAATGTGCTTCTCACGAAGAGCTGTTCAGCCACTTTCTTATACAATAGACAACCATAATTTGGAACAGGTATATAATTTTGTGGATCTTGGTATCACAATGGATCCGAAACTTAACTTTAATCTTCACATTAATGTGACAGTCAAAAAGGCTAAAGGTGTACTTGTATTTGTGAAACGATGGTCAAAAGAATTTAGTGACCCTTATATCACATTAAACCCTGTTTACAACATTAGTTAGACCTATTCTGGAATACGGTTCGGTGGTTTGGAATCCAAAGTATGAAATTTACTCAGACAAGATAGAATCAATTCAAAAACAATTCCTACTTTTTGCTTTAAGAAATTTCCGTTGGGATTCTCAATATAACCTTCCGCCTTATATGAGCCGATTAAAACTTATTAATCTTCCTACACTTGTCAGTTGCACGGAATTGCTTGGTACAATTTTTATGGTTAAATTACTAACAGACTCAGTTTCAAGTCCGCTTCTTCTGGTTGAAGTTAGCCTTGATGTTCCCTCCCGTATATCAAGACACTTTTATTTTTTGAAAACTTGTAAAACTAATTTTGAATTACACGAGCCACTTCGTTGCTTATGCCAGGACTTTAACTCTCATTCCAGCACATTTGATATATCTGATTCGCTTTTCAGCATTAAGAAAGCGATACTCTCCTCTCTAAATAAATGAATCATTAACATAAAGATAAAATCAGCTGATGAATTTAGTTCTGTAGCTGAACAGTTTTAGATCTCGACACTCAACAAACTCCTGCCTATCGTGACTCGGTGCAAAAGATTGAAAATATTGGTTCCGTACATCATGCGGACTGCGCCCCTCGTGCGGACGGGCGGGAATGGAGGGTATATTCATTTTACTCAACTTTTTATGCCGGCCGGCAAAAATCCTCTTAGCTATATCCTCCCCGCGGGTGCCGACTGGACAATGGGCGTCGCTGCTGTCACCGCGAT